TGTGGTGAGTCTGTGGGTCTCTGTGTGGTGAGTCTGTGGGTCTCTGTGTGATGCGTCTATGGGTCTCTGTGTGGTGAGTCTGTGGGTCTCTGTGTGGTGAGTCTATGGGTCTCTGTGTGGTGAGTTTGTGGGACTGTGTGGTGAGTCTGTGGGTCTCTGTGTGGTGAGTTTGTGGATCTCTGTGTGGTGAGTCTGTGGGTCTCTGTGTGGTGAGTCTATGGGTCTCTGTGTGGTGAGTCTGTGGGTCTCTGTGTGGTGAGTCTATGGGTCTCTGTGTGGTGAGTCTGTGGGTCTGTGTGGTGAGTCTATGGGTCTCTGTGTGGTGAGTCTATGGGTCTCTGTGTGGTGAGTCTGTGGGTCTCTCTGTGTGGTGAGTCTATGGGTCTCTGTGTGGTGAGTCTGTGGGTCTCTGTGTGGTGAGTCTATGGGTCTCTGTGTGGTGAGTCTGTGGGTCTCTCTGTGTGGTGAGTCTATGGGTCTCTGTGTGGTGAGTCTATGAGTCTCTGTGTGGTGAGTCTGTGGGTCTCTGTGTGGTGAGTGTGTGGGTCTCTGTGTGGTGAGTCTATGGGTCTCTGTGTGTTGAGTCTGTGGGTCTCTGTGTGGTGAGTCTATGAGTCTCTGTGCGGCGAGTCTATGGGTCTCTGTGTGGTGAGTCTATGGGTCTCTGTGTAATGAGTCTGTGGGTCTCTGTGTGGTGAGTCTATGGGTCTCTGTGTGGTGAGTCTATGAGTCACTGTGTGGTCAGTCTATGGGTCTCTGTGTGGTGAGTCTATGGGTCTCTGTGTGGTGAGTCTATGGCTCTCTGTGTGGTGAGTCTATGAGTCACTGTGTGGTCAGTCTATGGGTCTCTGTGTGGTGAGTCTGTGGGTCTCTCTGTGTGGTGAGTCTGTGGATCTCTCTGTGTGGTGAGTCTATGGGTCTCTGTGTGGTCAGTCTGTGGGTCTGTGTGGTGAGTCTGTGGGTCTCTGTGTGGTGAGTCTGTGGGTCTCTCTGTGTGGTGAGTCTATGGGTCTCTGTGTGGTGAGTCTGTGGGTCTCTCTGTGTGGTGAGTCTGTGGGTCTCTCTGTGTGGTGAGTCTATGGGTCTCTGTGTGGTGAGTCTATGGGTCTCTGTGTGGTGAGTCTGTGGGTCTCTGCACGCAACAATTGGCACTGGCTCTGTTGTGGTGGTTGTGGTGGTGGCGATTGTGGTGATGGTTGTGGCGATTGTGGTGGTGGCGCTTGTGGCGAGCGGTGGTGCAGCGGTTAGCGCTGCGCTACGAGCCCGGCGCTGGGCCGCCCCTAGGCAGGCTCAGCCTCAAATTGAGTGTACCTCGTGTTAGCGGTGGTGGTGGGCGACTGCGAGGAGAGACAAAGGCGGCCGGGCGTGGGGGTTCCGGCTACAACACCCCACCTCTGTGTGTGCCACAGTGCCGGCATAGGCTGCTGTTACTGACAGCACTTGCCCCTACAGCCTGTTAGAGGCTACCTGGGGGAGCTTTGTCTGTGTGTGTCACAGTGCCGGTAGCCTTCATAGACTGCTGCTACTGACAGCACTTGCCCCTACAGCCTGTTAGAGGCTACCTGGGGGAGCTTTGTGTTTGGTTGTGGTGTGTGTGGACTAATCTCCATCTGTTCCATCTCCACCTTCTTCACCGTGTGTGGACTAATCTCCATCTGTTCCATCTCGTTCCACCTACACCCGTGTGTGGACTAATCTCCATCTGTTCCATCTCGCTCCCTTCTAACACCGTGTGTGGACTAATCTCCATCTGTTCCATCTCGCTCCACCTTCTACACCGTGTGTGGACTAATCTCCATCTGTTCCATCTCACTCCACCTACACCCGTGTGTGGACTAATCTCCATCTGTTCCATCTCACTCCCTTCTACACCGTGTGTGGACTAATCTCCATCTGTTCCATCTCGCTCCCTTCTACACCGTGTGTGGACTAATCTCCATCTGTTCCATCTCGCTCCACCTTCTACACCGTGTGTGGACTAATCTCCATCTGTTCCATCTCGCTCCACCTTCTACACCGTGTGTGGACTAATCTCCATCTGTTCCATCTCACTCCCTTCTAACACCGTGTGTGGACTAATCTCCATCTGTTCCATCTCGCTCCCTTCTAACACCGTGTGTGGACTAATCTCCATCTGTTCCATCTCGCTCCCTTCTACCCCGTGTGTGGACTAATCTCCATCTGTTCCATCTCGCTCCCTTCTACCCCGTGTGTGGACTAATCTCCATCTGTTCCATCTCGCTCCCTTCTAACACCGTGTGTGGACTAATCTCCATCTGTTCCATCTCGCTCCACCTTCTACCCCGTGTGTGGACTAATCTCCATCTGTTCCATCTCACTCCCTTCTAACACCGTGTGTGGACTAATCTCCATCTGTTCCATCTCGCTCCCTTTTCTACACCCGTGTGTGGACTAATCTCCATCTGTTCCATCTCACTCCACCTTCTACACCGTGTGTGGACTAATCTCCATCTGTTCCATCTCGCTCCCTTTTCTACACCGTGTGTGGACTAATCTCCATCTGTTCCATCTCGTTCCACCTACACCCGTGTGTGGACTAATCTCCATCTGTTCCATCTCGCTCCCTTCTAACACCGTGTGTGGACTAATCTCCATCTGTTCCATCTCACTCCCTTCTACACCGTGTGTGGACTAATCTCCATCTGTTCCATCTCGCTCCACCTTCTACACCGTGTGTGGACTAATCTCCATCTGTTCCATCTCACTCCACCTACACCCGTGTGTGGACTAATCTCCATCTGTTCCATCTCACTCCACCTTCTACACCGTGTGTGGACTAATCTCCATCTGTTCCATCTCACTCCCTTCTACACCGTGTGTGGACTAATCTCCATCTGTTCCATCTCACTCCACCTTCTACCCAGTGTGTGGACTAATCTCCATCTGTTCCATCTCGCTCCACCTTCTACCCAGTGTGTGGACTAATCTCCATCTGTTCCATCTCGCTCCACCTTTTACACCGTGTGTGGACTAATCTCCATCTGTTCCATCTCACTCCCTTCTACACCGTGTGTGGACTAATCTCCATCTGTTCCATCTCGCTCCACCTTCTACCCAGTGTGTGGACTAATCTCCATCTGTTCCATCTCGCTCCACCTTTTACACCGTGTGTGGACTAATCTCCATCTGTTCCATCTCGCTCCACCTTCTACACCGTGTGTGGACTAATCTCCATCTGTTCCATCTCACTCCACCTTCTACACCGTGTGTGGACTAATCTCCATCTGTTCCATCTCACTCCACCTTCTACACCCATGTATGGACTAATCTCCATCTGTTCCATCTCGCTCCACCTTCTAACACCGTGTGTTGTCTAATCTCCATCTGTTCCATCTCGCGACACCTTCTACACCGTGTGTGGACTAATCTCCATCTGTTCCATCTGTATGGGGATAGAGCGTTGCTCCATCGCTCAGAGAGGTTTTCACCAGATGCTCCAGATTCCTTACCACACCAATAATAAAGCACTCATTGAATAGGCGATACAAACATCATGTATAGTGCATCATCACC